AGTGATTTATAAATCTTCCAATATTTCCCATCCATGTTGCGTCAATAATTTCATTCTCATTTAAATTCATGCAGTAGTGGTGAAGAGATTTGTGATATTTTCTGCTTGTTCTTTTTTCAAATCTTTTGATTGAGATTACTTCTCCAACATACTCAGTGATGAATTCTCCCTTTTTGATGATGGGTTGATTGCACTTTACACCAATTCCTTTACCTTTGCTGTAAAAGCAAACAATATTTGGATACTGCATGTTGGTAAACATTTTGTTGTCACACAGCGAGCCACACTGACAATCTGAAGAGCACTCCACTTGTGACAAGTAATTCAAACATTCATGCTTCACACATTTGCTGGTGCAGTTACATCGATTATCGTTATGAGCTGTTGGGAGTGTTTTAGAACTTCTTTCATTCTCTAAAATGTACACAAAATCGTCAGGTAATTTTAAATTTGGAAAATACTTTTCTATCAACTCAGGCTTGGCAATATTCTTTTCAGGGTTTGCAATTTTCAATTTTAATTTCTTATAAACTTTCATAAATGGATTCTTTTTCTTTTTTACTTTCATGCCTGATGTGGTTGCTTTGGATGAAGTCGTGGAAGTGTTACTTTTAGTGGTGCTGATCGAAGATGTTGATGATGATCTGGAAAGGAGAGCTGGCGGTGTGTTGGGAAGTGATGGAGATTCCGAGCTTGATGTATGGTGTTTTTCATTGGTAATAAAAGACAACGACGAAACCAATGGAATTTCAATCCTCTTCGTTCGATAGGTGCCTCCAATGTGATCATAAATCACGCATGTTTTTTCAATGGATACTGCATTAATTTGATAGTCTTGTTCTTGGGATGTTGGTTCCACGTCATCGAGTGCTGCTTTTTCATATTCTTGAAAAGTTTTAATTAAAGCCTGTAGTTGTTCGGAATTCCATGTGCATACCGTTGGTTTTTCAATTCGTCGGCGAGGCTTGTTGCTACATTCTCTAAATCGTTGCAACAGTGGTTTCTCTCGGAAAGCTTTTTTAACTGATGAATGGTGATCGGGATTGCTTCCATTTGTTGCTGGATGATTATGATCGGTTTTTGATGATGACTTTTCCTGTTTGTGATGAGATGACAGCTTGCTTTCCTTTTGATTCATTTTTTTAATGTCGACACAAACGTTTTTGACTTTCCATTGCCACATCAAACCACTGTCGTGACATTAAACACGAATAATTTATTTCTTGGTTGATTTAAACAATTGAAGAGGATGGAACAGAGTTCAAACCGCACTTGCTCTTACCACGAATAATACGGAAATATCCATCTTCACCCCAATCTATTTGAGTGGGTTATTGGGTAGTCATAAAAAAATAATTCCTTAGTAAAAAACAATAAATTTTCACAAAAACATACCTGAACCCAAGAGTTCTTAACAATCCAGTATGGTTCTTCGGATCCGAGCCAGCTCTTACCAACACCATAACCAACAATCAAAACACCGTGGTCCAAATCTTGAGGATTACAGAACCATGGATCAGAGATACCAGAAGTGTAGTATTGCAACCATTCAGCATTGATAGCAATGGAGATTGGTCCGTTAGCAGCGAGCCAAGCAGCCATTTGAGTTTCGTCGCTTGGAATTGAGGTCCAAGAGGAGATGGTGGCAACAACGTTGCTCTTGTTGAATCTGCAAGTGTCATCAACACCTTCATATGGATAAGAGTCCTCAGTGACCAAACCACCGTTCTTGATGATGTATTGGAAGGCAGACCACATCAAACCGCCATTGCAACCAGAGTCACAAGCTTGTTGGTTTTGATAAGTGACACAGTTGTGATCACAGTCAACCAATTGTTGTTCAGACAAGCTGACAAGTTTACCCTTCTTGATGGCCCATTGACCTTCAACGTTACCAGTGGTGGAGAAAGTCCAGCATGAACCACAAGCACCTTGATTCTTGACAGGAGTAACAGCTCCGTGTTGTCTCCAGTCGAAGGACTGTTGTTGAATTAACGGAATGGTGTGATGATGAAATAGATAAAATTTAAGAGTTCAAATGAAGTGATGATGGAGGAATCATTCCAATTGCAATGATCAAAATTTGGAGATGTAAAAACGTGAAGGATGATACCGTTATGAAGTGTTAACAAAATCATCATAACAAAATATACGTACGGTTGGAGCAGCTTGGATATCCTTTTCAGAAACAACAACTTGTTGTGGAGCACCCAAAATCTTCTTGGCTTCCTCTGGAGTGTAAGTCTTCATCAAGAACATTCTCTTGAATTCTTCTGGAGTCAAATCAGCAAACTTGGTGATACCGAAGTTTTCTCTCTTGCCAACATGGTTATAATATCTGGCCTTCTCAACGTTGGCCTTGAAAATTTGATATCTAGAATTATGTTCTTCAGTACCATAGAGTTTGGCATGTTTTCTAGAGAACTTGATGAAGAGCTTCTTCATTTCACTCTCGGCCAAAGGCTTGTACTCTTGAGCCAACACAACAGCGGCACAAGCAATCAACAACACAGCAACAAGGACAGAACGCATTTTTTTCAGCTGTTTTACAATGGGATGTTGCGGGGAATGCACTAGTGCAAAGTCCCATCAACTCCGATTGATTGCTCCTATTTGAACACAATCAATGGATACAAACAACGGCGTTTTCTCCTGGCGTTCCCAACTACCACTTCGCTGGTGTAACATTCCTTTATTTGGTTCATTCGGGCTACGTCTCAGTGTTTTTGTTACATTAGCTTTTTGTTGTTCGCCCAGCAAAAGCTGCTTTGTCTTTGTTGAAGGACAAAGGCTTCTGCTGGAGCTATAATGAATAATAAAACGACTTGAGGTATGTTGTTGTGATTAGAAAAATACGGTGTAATTGTGGTCGGAAGAAATAAATAGGTGAACAATTTTAAACGTGTTCCAATTTTTGGACGAACTTTTTTTGTGATGAAAAATGCTTGACATTTTATTGCATGTCTTGAGACGAAGCCACCACCTGGCTCAGCTGGGAATACGAAACGAGGTTTTTTGTTTTCTTTGCAAATACGTAAAAAGGAGGTGACAACAACTGATAATTTCCAACAATCACAGCAATTTGTTTTTGATAAAGCTTGGTGCTGGTTGTTGATGAAAATTGTCCAATTAATTTAAATTTGAATGGATCCGTCTGATTTGGTGCCACAAATATTTTAAATGAGTTAATTGGTTCAGAATGTCGAGATGCATTTTCATTGTTCTCATTGAAATTGCGAACCTCTACGGTTGCATTGCTCAAAGAAATATGATTAGTCTTAATTTCAAATTCTACGGGCTTTTTAAGCAAAAATGCCGCAATATGATTTTGAGCATGAATTAATGAGTCGTGTGTTTGAATAATGGTAAAACTGATGTCGTCGGTTAATGTAAGTCGTTCTGTTAAGTTTGGCAAAACTTCACTTGTTTCAATATGGAAAACAGGAAGTGAAATGTTGTAGTAATTGGAAATGCTTGTCTCCATGAAATCGGTGGCAAATCCGGCCCTATAGTCATGTCTTGACTGATGGTATGATTGACGGATGGAGTTGACACGATGTTGTAAACATCGCAATTGTAAGTCTTTCGCACAAATTAAATCTTGATCTGTAAAACTATAAGAAATGGATGTCACGCTTTCTCTAGCTTGCTTTCTTTCATTATTAAAGTCAACAAATTGTTTTTCAGTCATTCTCATCAAAATTTGTTGGTTAATTTGACTAGGGGCATCACAATATTTCCTCTTTCTATCGTTATTGTATGAAAGATATACACATTCTTTTTTCACTAATTTGATTTTCATGTTTGAGTAACTTCTATGATAGTCCAATACTGTGGTTCTTTTTGAATAATCACGTGACTCTCCGAAAAATCCTTCAAGAGAACGTGTTCCCAATAAAGACAAATCAAAAACTGCATCTTGTGGAATAATTCTGATCAATTTCTGAATTGTTTTGATGTTATGGATAATGATGTTTTTTGTGAGGGTTCCGGATAATGTAAAATTATTATTCTTATTGGAAATAATGACGTCTTGGAAAACGGTATCCCACTCATTCAAATAGTCCAAATTTTCCTTAAGAACTTGCAACACTTCGTGCAAATTGTGTGAAGATGTTCCATCATGATTTTTGTCATCGTAAACATGAAATAAATCATGTATCGCTTTTAAGTACTTATAGAATCCTAAATATCGATAGTTGGTTCTCTCGTTCAATAATCGTAATTTTTCAAGTAACTGTAAATTGCATACATCACGTAATACATCCTCAGATTGATCATCATATTTGATAAACGAGCTCCGTTTAACTATTTTACACCACTCTAAAGGTTGTTGTCTATATATTTCATCGAGTGTGTTCAATTCAAATCGTTGTAAAATAGAACAAGAAATTTTGGTGACAGCTATGTCTTGATTGCTAAAATTTGCCACACACACTTTACCAATGTTAGTATGAAGGGTTTCACTCAACAACGTAACACTTAATTCGTTGTCATTGCTGCTATGATAGAAAGAAATGCCTCCAGAGTTAAAATTCCGTGGTTCTTTTTCTTTCCATTCAAATGAAATTGTGTCTTTGTCATTCACTATGAAGGAAAGTGGTATGTTGGTCGCTTGTGTTCTTTGAATAACAATTTTCATCAAATGGCAACCGTTTCCGTTGTCGTTGGAAGAAATACAAGCAGAGGAATGGCGTGCAATTTGAAGGTTTGGAGCACCTACTTTAGTGGCAACCGGATATAATTTTGGTCTCCCATTAATTGCATTCCTCATGTTTTTGCAATGGTGACTGTAGCAAAAATGATGTAGTTCATTTGGGCTCGATGTGAAATATTTGTAATTAGCAGACCCTGCATCTGACACAGTACAGACGATGTTTCGAGTATATGTGTCACGAAATTCAGAAATCGTGTCTCTAATGGTTTGTTCAGTTTCAGTAGTGCATACTTTGAAGTTTCCAGGAATTCGAACTTCACCGTTAATACTGCAATATAAAGTTTGAACAATTTTTTCAGCTAAAAAACCCTTGGGTGGAAAATTCGGACTCTGAGCTAGTGCAGTACAATCACTAATCTTCAATGGACCTTCATTGGCACCGTATACAAGCCCAAGCTTGGTATTGATTCCTAAATGCGGTGTTACATCTACTGCATCAATTTGAACAAGACCAAAATTTTGATTTTCAATAACCTTCATTTTTTCTACTAGCTTATCAAAGTCATCTTTGTCTAGTTTAGTATTCCCTTCTCCATATGATGCGGTGTGAAAATGATGGTCGAGTGTGGATGAACAAGGTAGGACTAAGTTACATCTTTCAGAAGAGGGTTCAAATTCTTGTCCTCGTTTCAACCCTCTCGCCAATGCTTCATACGCATTGTATCCCATGATAACCAATAAATCTTGAGCAAAACAAAGAACAGATGGGCTCCATCTATGGCCTCTACTGTCTTTGCAAATTAATTGTGAAAAAGCATCACGAAGATATGTGAAAAAGAAAGTTCGAGGTACTAATTTGCGACTACCTAACACCTGAAAAAACAATTTTTTCAATTCTTGAATATCCTCATCAAATATATCACATTCCGAATAATAACTATCATCATCGTTATTTTGTGATTTAAAATCAGCATGGTCTACAAAATTATGAGAGATGGTGTCGGACTTGGTATTTACAATTGATGAGTGTGTTGGAATAAATTTGTTGTTAATTAGTTGTTGCAGCATGTAATACGGTGCTGTTTGTTCTTTTGTTGAATATGACAACGTGATGTAGTCTTCAGCAAAACCATGATCCAGGATTTTATGTAATTCAATAACGCCGACATTTTTTTCTGGTTCGAGTAATTTCATGATGGTTGAACTAGAATAACGTTGTGACGTTGTTGAGGTTTGAGGTGGGTCTTCGCAAGCTGTACTTGTTTTGGAGTGTTTACGTTTTTGACGAATTCGCATCAGCTCGTCATGACACTCTTTCAATTTCAAATAGCCTTGAAAATGTAGTTTGTTGATCCATTCTGATGTTAACTCTTGATTTTGTCTTTGATTTTGAAATTTTGGGTCAGAGTAAATGTTATAGATAGCACTATCCTCGTCCGGGTCAATGCAATCAGTAACATATTGTGCAATCTTTGTTGAATTGTCAACCTGGAATTTGCAACAGTATAGAACAAATGGGACTCGTTTGTTGTGTGTGATGAGGTATGAGAAATATAGTTCGAGATGGCGATGGATGGTATTAAAATCCTTGCGATGAAATCCACATTGATCAATAATATCTTCTATTAAATGTTCGACATTAATATATTGATGGACTGCGAATAGCATTGTTTTGATGGCAACATGATATTCCGGTCTCAACAGACCGACAAAGGCGTTTCGTTCATGTTTTAACATTTTTATTGAAAAAACCTCCAGCAAACACCAGAACAAAACTTCGACAGCCTGCTCGACCTTTTTTAAAATGGTTAGGATTCTAAAAAATAAAGTGCTTTCCAAATGCTATTGTAACACTATTTCTGGGAGTTGGGAACGCCAGGAGGAGGGCTTTGAAGAACCAATGTGTTGAGAAGTCAATAAGATTTAGAACTTTTTATGCTTCTTGTGGGCAGGTTTCACAGAGGACTCTGAACTGTCATTATTGTTGCTGGACCATGATGAGGATGATCTGTTATTATTGGACCAGTTGTTATTTCTTCCTCCCTTGTAACCACCACCAAAGGAATTGCCTCCTCTACCGCCTCGTCCTCTTCCACCCCCAAAACCACCATTATTCTTTGGGCTCTTGGACTCGAGAAATTCCATCAAGCCTCTCTTCTTTGACCCACCATTCTCGTCTTCATTGGAGTCTCGTCCGTTGGAGTGATGACCATTGTTGTTACCATTGCCATTCGTGGATGTTTCAGCAGAATCTTCTTCATTATCAGCCTCTTCCTTATTGTTGAACTTGTTATATCCGTTGTTGTTGTTATTATAATTATTGTATGATCCACCCTTATTGTAGGATGAGGATTTATCAAAACTCTTCTTAAAGTTGGAACCTCCTTTACCACCCAATCCAAACGAAGATTTTAACCCTTCTTCATCAAAATCATTCATTTTGAAACCTAATTTTCGAGCAAACATGTTAAATACACTTCCATAAGTGTTTACAAGCTTGAAAACATCTCTACTCAATTGATTATTCGAGACAATACTTTGCACTTCTCTATGAATATCGTTCATTTGCTTGTCTGTCACACTGTTATCTAACTCTTCAAGTTTTTCCCAATCTTTCTCATCTTCTTTGTCATTATTTAACATCATGTTGAAATAGGAAAGAGCAACTTCTTTTTCTCTTGGAGTCAAGAACAAGACAGATACACCTTTTTTACCAGCTCGAGCAGTTCTTCCAGCTCGATGGAAATAATCAGCAGGTTGCTCAGGAATATCAAATTGAACAATTAAATCAACGTTAGGGAAATCGAGACCTCTGGCAGCAACATTGGTAGCAACGAGTACTCCTGGATTCTTATCTTCCATAAATTGGAAGAAAATTTCACTTCTCTTATTTTGGTTCATGTTACCAGAGAGTTGAACAACTTTTCCAATATTTGAAGTGTTTTCAAGAACACAAGTCACAAATTCAACAGATAATTTGGTGCTCACGAACACAATAATTTTCTTATCAACATTATTTCTCAATACTGAAATCAATGCTGCAAGCTTCTTATCATTTGGTACTTCGTAATACTTTTGTTCCAAGGTAGAAACCTTCTTTGAATTTGCATCATCCAAACCAAGTTTCACAATATCATTCTTGAGTGAGATGTGAGCTAAATCTTCAACTTTATCAGTCATGGTTGCAGAGAAGAGATAGGTTTGACGCTCTTTTGGAAGTTGCATGACAATCTTTTTCAAAGTTTCTTCAAAACCACTATCCAGTAATCGATCTGCTTCATCCAAAATGAAATATTTCAAGTGGGAAGGATCGAAGTTTTCTCTTTGAATGTGATCTAAACATTTACCTGGAGAGGCGATCAATACTCTTACTTGTTCATTGGCTAACTCAGCTTGCTCTACAGAGACCTTGTTTCCTCCAATGACGCAAGCGGCCTTGTATTCAGTATGTTTTAATAGTTTATCAGCAACTTGTTGGATTTGTAAGGCTAATTCTCTTGTTGGAGCTAAAACGAGGATATAAATGCCTTGAACATTCTTTTCATTCTCTAACATGCAGGAGAGTGATGGAACGAGGAAGGCAAGTGTTTTGCCCTGACCAGTTGCAGCTTGAGCAATAAAGTCTTTACCTTTTCCTTTCTCTCCGAGAGCAGTTGGAATTGTCAATTGTTGAATTGGGGTCATGCTTTCAAATCCGAATTCTTTCTTGATGGCTTTTAGTAGAAGTGGGTGAATTTGTGGTACGTCCGAAAATTTAAGTGATGTTGCCAAAGCACCTGTGGATTGCGTTGTGTCAGCGAGTGAAATGGTCTCAACAGATTGTTTCTTTCTCAGCTGAACAGCTGATGAGGCCGAGAGGGTTGAAACGTTTCCGTTGGCATCTTTAAGTGTTTTGGTCCCGTTTGAGTTGAATTTGATGTGGGCTGGCATGGTGATGAAAAGGATTCTATTGATGGGACTCGGAGTGTGTTGAATGAGAGCAAAATTGTTTGTGAGGAGATTTGTTGGTGTTCAATTATTTTTTTGTTCAACAAAAATTTTGCTTTGTTCAAGGTTGAAGCAGCATGACAGTCTTTACTCAAGATTCTCTCCAGGCTACAAATCGTTAATGGAAAGAGAACTAGCTCCCAGTTGTTGTGATTTGTTGTTGTGATTGGCTGAAGCAGTTGTTGACATGACAATCATAGAGCTTTCGGAAGCTAGCTTTAACAAATCGGCACTCAAATACGTCACACATTCGGAGAAAGTAATTTGCTGATTGCTGTTTGGATCAATAATTGAAACAAAATTTTGATACTCTTCATCTGTTCCGTTCGGATTGATTGTAGTTAATAATTGTTTCAATTCATGTTGATTCAAAATTCCATCCTTGTTACTATCTACCTCCCTAAACATTTTGACAAACTTGGACAGGAACTTCTCGTGTGATTCCAGTTGGAAGTCTAGCAAAACTTCTAAGAACGTCTTGTACGGAACTCTAGTGGCCTTTTCAAAGCTCTTATTCATGGTAGGTGATCCAAGTGTCATTTGAAGTTTTTGATGCTCTAGAATGGCGTCGTTGACACGAATGATTACAGTGAGTGAGTCTTCCTTGTTGTACATGTACTTGATAATATCTACCCATTCATCTTCATTAAGATCACCATTTAACCTATTTTGAATGATTTGATGAATTTCATGATCAACCTTCTTGCTATATTTTCCTCTCAAAAATACCTTCAACAATTCTGCAGTAGTGTCCTTTAGCTGCTTTTGGACATATCTGAATTCTTCATCAATTTCGTTTTTAAGAATTTTGCCGAATACTTTGACTTCGTTGTCTTCTCTAGAGAATCTTTTCACACCAAAATTGATAGCAGTAGCCCATTCAAAAATTAATGTTTTAAGGCCATACTTTTGATTGAGGAATGTGTACAAATGCTGTTCCATTGTTTCTCTTGGTAGTTTACTCTCTTGACATTTCTGATCAAATTTGTGCTTTGAGGTATAAATTTCCTCAATAATTTCTTTTAGTTGTTTCAAACTTAGAGGTTTTAACTTTACCTGTTTTGAATCTTTTGGTTTTACCATGCTTTGAGAAAGAATTTGTTGTGGAGTTTGTGATACTTGCATTGACAGACGCTGTCTGTTGATTTGTACCTGAGCCAATCGATTTTTATATTCTGTTGGAGTCAAATTATTTCATTATACAACAAGTTCAACAGCAATGGTTCAACAAATACCAGTACTTACTTTCAATTTCTAGCTTTAAGACTCCAATTTCTTCAGATAATTGCTCTCGCTCTACTTCGTGTTGGCGAATCAATTTTGCCTTGGCTTCCTCGCTTTTAGATGCAACTTGTTGGAGCGACTCAGTTTCCTCTAGAAGATTGGCAATATCCTTATCAGCGCTATCCAAATCTTTCTGAAGAGTTGCCAGCTTTGAAAAGCAATCAGTGGAAAATGTTTTGATCATTGAGTAGTACGATTCGCACATATCTGAGTATGAGTTCTTCACAATCATGAGAATGCTGGAGGCTTTTTTATCAACCTCAGAAATCTTGTCGATGACTTCCTCAAAATATACGTCAAACAATTGCCTTTTGCAATTCAATAACTCAATCTGGTAGGTCAGGGCCTCTTGTGGTGTTTCTTTTGATCTGTTGAGTTGTTTTAGGATTGGAGTGGTGCTTGGGTCAAACGGAGTTCTTTGTCCTAGATAGAGTCCAATAGAGTCATGGAGTCTCTTGAGATCCTTCAAGTCATCGTTCGATGAGTCTACAACAGATAATACTTCTCCTGTATGTGTTGCAGCAGTGTTTGAAGAGGTCGCATTAGGCTTCGAGGGAGACTCTTTTTGCAACGGTAATACTGAATCCTCAGTTTGAGGCTCGCCTTGATTCATAGATTGATTTTCGTTAGGTTGTTCAACCACCACAGAAGAGGGCTCTCTCTTGCCCTCAGCCATGGTGAAGTACAATGGTGGATCAACATCAGGAAGATCCGTTAAGGCTGATGATGAATGGATGTAAATCAAGCCAACAATCCTTAAAAAGTTACTTACGAGTACCATTGAAAGACTCCAAATTGGATAATGAAATAATGATTTCGTCTTCTTCCTTTTCATCAAGGGTAATGTACAAATGTTTGAGATTTGGAAGCGAGAATAGCCCGGCTAACACGGATTGAGCGCTTTCAAACAGATTGTTTCTCAGATCTAGATATTCCACCTTTTGAAGCCCGCTCATATCAGATGGCAATGTCCGAAGGTTGTTGTTTGATAGCCTCAACACTTTGAGGTATTTGAGTTTGGACAAATCCACCAAAACTTCATCCAGAGTTCTTAATCCACAATGGTCCAAAGATACCTCAATCGCATCGGGATACTTGTGCAAAATTGAATTCACTTTTTCCATGGCGTATGTTTCTTGGAAGAGGGAAATCGATGATAAGCTTCAACAATGCCGAATTAAGGGAAGGCTTAGTGATTATTTTTTTTAATTTTTAAAAAATATTCTCTTCTGCAACGTTCATATCTTCATTAGTTGGCATCATTAATTAACATCTTCACCAATTAACATCATGACTAAAAGCTAAGACGATACAGAACATAGCAGACGTGATTAACAAAGGAACCAATAAAATCTCGTTCTGTTTGATTTGGAATAATGATCAGAGATTGAGCACCTTCCGATTTTTGATCAACTCTTACGGCTGGTGATGGCATGTTGGTATTTGGTGATCTCAACATGGAAGCAGAATGAGTCTGATCTTGAAGAGGTTCAGGCTCGTTTGCAAGCTTCTTCTTACAGAAATAGATGATTACAGAGTTTTCCTTAATCTTGTAATGGATGTGCAACATGAAATCAGTGCTTCTATTACTTGGAGTAATGAGTAAATGTTGAGCAGTGCCATCCTTCTTGAATATACTTCCTGCCCTCTCTCCTCCATAAATATTCCATAGCTCAGAAATCACGTCATTCCATGGCACGTAGGTAGCCTCAAATATTGAGAGAGTAAAGTCATACTCAGTTATTTGAGTCTTAGTCCATAAAGCATCAAGTTCGTTGAATAAGTTTTCGCTCATCCTGAATTTAAGAGCCATATCCCATAAAATGTCCAGCTTGAATGAGTTTTTGACACTTTGTAGCAAATTTGCCAACTTTCTTTCGTATTGTTGAGCCATTTGTGTAATCACCTTGTACATGTTGTCTTTAGAGCCTTCAATCTCGCTATCATAAGGATGTCTATTCGTTGCATCTACAAACACTATATACATGGTGAGATTCATTGTGCTATCTTCTTCTTGAGGACTTGGAGACCTTGATGAATTAGTTGATGAAGCTCCATGATATGAAAATGTGGTATGTGAATCAGAATGTACAACTGACTTTGTTACCAATACACAGTACGAGTAATCTGCTTCCTCATGAGAAATGTAAGTGTCAAGAATGAAACACTCTTTGCTCTTTTGACTGAATTTAACCTTATACTTGTCAGAGTGTTTGCAAATATATTCAAAGAAAAATTGAAATGGATCATTCAACATTTCTCGTCTCTCAGTACTGTAGGATCGACCTCGTTCAAGAGATTTCATGCTACTTTTAGGTGTTGTTGCCTTTTCTCGCATAATTTCTGCAATGTCTTTAACATTCTCAAAAGTGATGGTGTGTGAATGTAAGATATTTCTTGTATGGGGTGGAGGGTTTGGATAAAATTGATTAAAGTCTTTCAATAAACTCATAAAGCTCAAAGTTGATGGAAATCCAGAGTAATCGGTTGTAAGATAATTCAAAAAATTTCTCAAGTGGAAATCATATGAAAATGAATTCATGTGCAGTGAGTGTTTGAATTGGCTCACTTTTTTCAAGAACTCTCCTCTGGTAGAGGCTCGAGGATTCAGCAAGGAAGGTCTTTGAGACGTAATGTCAGAAATATAAACATTTAGGTACACATAAATACTGTCAAGACCTAATTCTAAGAATAGTACTCCATCGTCCATTTGTTTATGGAAGTAAATAGTGGTGGGTTGGAGCTTAATAATTTGATTTCCCACAACTTGGACAAGTGGAGTGGGCTGTGGTCTTGATTTGTTGTCCGTTGAGGTAGTAATTGGATTCATGTCACTTGGAGTTGAGGCTAATAATGGTGATGAATCATGCTGATCTGAAGGATGCAAGAAAACGTCAGAAATATCCAATGACTTGATATACTCTACATATTCGCTCAAGAATGATTCAAATACCTTTCTGTGATAACCAATTTCACGAAGGTTGTTATTTTGTTGCTCCTCTACGCCTGTGACTCCCTCACTGTCAAGATGTTGAATAATAGCAGCAGAGGACGAAGAAATAAAAGATGATGGGCTAAATAATATTCTTCTCAATGGGTTAAACAGGAGAGGTACCCTGCAAAAGTGGATTAGTCTTGAAGTGTTCTTGATGAGTTGGAAGTCCTTAGATTTTAAGTTTGTAGATTGAGATTTGTTCCAAAATCCGTAAATCTTTGACACTTGCTGTTGTTCAACCTTCTTTTTGTAGTTCTGGTGCACGATGTGTTTAAAGTGAAGCCCATGAATAAGAAGCGGATCACGTGGTTTGTTGTCATTCATGGTTTTCTTGGCCAATTGTTTGCAAGGTGTCTTGTCTAAATCAAATATTCCTTTCAACAGGGATCCAAATTGATTTTTGCTTGAAGGAGGCTTCTTCTCTTTTCTTACTTTTTGAATATCTGTTTTTACAGAAATATCATTTACAGATGAAGTAACAAGTGTAGAATTCATGCCTGGATTTTTGAAACGATTGTACATTTGTCCTCCCCTCACGTCCAGAATTGGTTGTTTTGGTGGAATCATACTTCCTGTTGGATTGTTAGTTGTGGTGGATGTTGTTACGGCAGGAGTTGTTCTTCTCATAGTATTGGAAGACTTTGGATCGCTTGGAGCGCTCTGC